CACCCGGAACATGAACCACCTGGTGTTCGAAATCAAAGTAAGCTTCGAGAAAGAAGAGTAGGTGAGAGAGGGAGGGGTCTCTTGCTGAGTATGAGGACAGAGCAGATACAACAGATTGGTTATCTGACCTGAAGAGGACCCGACCACCCTTCCAACCGGCTCCCCATATGGCAGCGGCCATGACAATTGGGAAGAGTTCCTTAGTGGCAATGCATACCCCCTCCCAGCCAGGAGGCCATGGGAACTGGAACCAGGAGGTCCCCCACTGAGGAAAGCACCACACCATCAAGAGCCCGATGCATCAGATGTCACAGTGTTCAGAAGGGGGCAGCCAGGAAAGAGCGCCACTCCGTTCCCACTTTGAATGAAGATGTCCCACCAGTGGAGGTCGGCCCTGCATTCAATGTTGATCTGGACAAAATGGTCCTGTCTCTTAGGAATTTTAACTGTTTCCAGGAGGTAGCGAAGGAAAGTCCTACCAGGGCGGACCACAATGGCCGCATCAGACAGCTGACCAATTATAGATTGCAGTTCCTTCTTGGTAGCGGACTCCTGAGTCAGCCACCTGCCCAGGGATCTCTGCAGGCATTCCAGCTTCCTCCTGGGAAGTCTCATCTCCAATTTATTTTTTGGGAATCCAGTTCTATACCAGAAAAGGTCAGTGTTGTCGATGGTCCCACCACCTTTTCTGGTGACACTGGAAAGCCCAGGTTCTCGCACAGCCTTATGGTGACCCTTAATAATCGTTCGCAGGTACTGGATTTTGGAGGGCAGAAAAAGAAATCGATGAGGTAGTGGAGGAAGTGGGAAATTCCCTCGCAGATCATGCCCCAGGCTAGGCCATCTGCCATGGCAGTGAATAGCTTTGGGGCGGAGCATAGACCAAACGGGAGGGCGGTGTCTTGGTAAAGTGCCCTGCCCCATCTAACTGCTAGCAGTGACTGGTCATCGGGATTGACTGGGACGTGCCTGTAGGCGGCCTTCAGGTCCAGCTTTGGCCATCAGGGTGCCCCTTCCGGCTGCCTTAATCAGCTCAACAGCATCCTCCACCCTCAGGTAGCATAAGGACGTGAGACCGTCATCAATACCGTCGTTTATATTACTCCCCGCGGGAGAGGAAAGGTCAATAATCAGCTGGAACTTCCCGGGCTGGTGATCCTTTTCTACCAGCCCTATGGGGCTCCAGTGAACTGCAGAATCATTGGGAATGCCCCTCAGGCATAGGGCCCTCACTTTCTCATCAATGTAATGTTTGGTGTGGCCTGGGTTGCCAACTGATGATTGATAATTCCTCTTTGGGAGGCAGTGGCGGATCTGGGTGCAAGTTAATGGTAGGGCCAGGAAGTGGGTGTGTCCACTTTTCAACCAGTTATTTTATGGTTATGCATCTTTTGGCCATTTTTATGATGGGTTTCAACAATTTCCTCATCTATGCTGTGCTTATAATGCTCTTCAAGCACTTGTAAGTACTCTGGTGTGGCTTGTGGTTTGCTTTATCAAAACTTGAGGCAGGGGATTGTTTACATTGCATCTAATGAATCTCATTACTGACTTCTGATGCCCGGGCCATGGCCCGTCTAGCCCCGGGCCCAGATCCGCCACTGTTGGGAGGTGCAGCTCCCTCGAGCGATCAAACCCAATCTTGAAGCCCCAGTGTATGCCTCTCCTGAGGAACTCTGCAAATTTCCTGTCAGGATGAAAGTATAAGTAGCGGTCCCATTTAGCTAGTGGGAGGACGCCAGTAACCGACACGCCCTCCACCAATGGGGAGGTTGGGACTGCCTCTAGTACCAACAGGTCCTTAGTGTACTGATTCTTCCCTCCTACAGGGAGGGATGGTACGGCATAATTGTCTGACCAGGATATTAAATGCTTTACGTTTTATTAATTTTATTTATTTATTATAAACGTGACTAATAA